AAGAATCCACATCGCCAATTCAGCAGGATCGTGAGAAACCTAGTTTACCTTTTAAATCATTTTGTATTATAAATTCATTCTTTGTTCTGTTGTCGTATTGTGTTGTGTCGTAAGCTGTAATTTTTAGAAATAAATTGTTTTTAATATGGCTTTCGTTTTCGTATTTATTTGATCCTTGTTCTCGCCAGGTCGTGATCATTTAATCCAGTCAGTTCCGAGGCTGTACCTTTGGTTCTAGGAGCACTTTATTTTTTTACAAATGCAGGTCGCTGGCCTCACTTGGAACTCTCCTCTTTTATCCGGGCTTGGGACCGGCTCTGAGGTCACTAAGCTACTCAATTCACCCAGCTCCCTCACAGGCAGATTTGTAGAATAAGTAGTGGCATTTAAATATCTAGGAGCAAATATAACAAGCACTAGAAATCTCAAAGGGGCAGAAAAAACCCAAACAACAAAGGAATCATTAATATCAGGATATTTAAGGGATATAATTTGGCGAAATAAATATGTAAGCGTCAGGAGCAAAGTTCGAATTTATAAGGCTTGCGTGAGACCGGTTATGACATATGCGATAGAGACTAGATAAAAAAGTTACACGATTGCTGAAAATTGTTATGCTAAGATTTGTCAGCACGGTATAACTGAGAGTAATTTTGGTCTTTTAGTTGGTTGCCACTTCATACCTAGCATATAGCAAATCCTGTGAAGTGTTATTATTGCTGTTAAACCAACTAAACTGGCCGCTTCAAAATTATCAATGGAAATATGTAGCAATTAATCGCAAATTATGTTTGCTTCGGTAACTGCTGTTTGGTCCGTTTTAGAGCAACATCCCATAACTCCTACATTGCTTAATTTCATAGAGGCGGTTATTTTATGATTAGGCGAATGGATATTCTGTTTGAATGGATTGTTAATTGGCCTCAAAAATACTAAAATTCTTCTCAAAAAATATTAACAAATTTACTTCTACTAAACTTCAGTGAATAGAGATAAAGACAGAGTTAATATTTTTTTGCTTTTATTTTATTGCTTTATTATTTTCAAGAAATAATGGATAACCCTTAACTTTGAATTAACTCGTGCTAGCATATTCTATGTTCACAATTCTAAATTCTGTTTAAATTTTGTAAGCACTTTAGTTATTGTTATGTACTCTATTATTAAATAAAAGTTAATGATTTCTTGATCATAATGATGGTGGTTCATGAAAATTTCATTAAATGGTAAATTATTTTACATCCATAAATAAAAATATACAAAGTTATCGTTCAGAATATATTATGTCTGACCTTTGTAGCGCTTTAACATAGGCATATTACTTAAATTTATTGGGTAAAAAGGGTTGATTAAAGCGCCAATACCGATAATAATATATTATTCCGCAAACGTTTATAGTGGACTGGACTGTGAATTTTAACTTTGCAAAACGAGTTAATAGTTAAACGACATTATTCACATAACAATGGAGTGGCAGTGGCAATATTTTAATTTTATTGCGAACTATAACAGTGATGCTATATAGCGATAGTCGATTAAATAATTATTGATGTATATAGTAGATAATTACGAATGAGATAAATTACAAAAGGGTGTCAAGTGGTTATCGTGGTTATTGAGACGTAACGAGCATTTTAGGTTTAACTATTAGTATGTACCGTTTTGGTTTTGTTTGTTCAAATTTTGCGCGAAGAAAATATTAGTTTTGTACCGTAGAAATATATTTCATCGAAGTTAGAAATTCACGAGTATCAAATATTTGTTTGTATCAATTCCTAAAACAAATATCTATGTTAACCCACAGATGGATTTGGTATTTTAGTATTATAAAAACGTCTTAAAAGTCTCATCTACATGAATAAAACAAAGTAGGGTTCCACAAAATGACTTTTTTATTTTGTAAATAAAAAAACCAACACTCTTTTCAAGAAAAGCCGGGTTAGTTACACTATTTTATACCTAAAGAACGGATGGACCGATTTTATACACCGGGTGCGTCTCAAAAGTGACTCATCCCTATAACTTTTTTATTCTTTCAGATAAAAAAAAAGTTTGTTATGTGAGTATATATAAGTTAGGATTCATTTATGGTATTAAATTGTTTTTGGTACAACCTTTGATTTTTAAATGGCGCTCTCAGTATTTTTTTACATTATTCGATAGAAAATGACACTCTGAATAGAACTCGGAATAGAATGACATATCATTATATCAACTTTTGGCAATTTTCGCTTATGATTAATTTTAAATTGTAAAATTCTGTTCATAACGACAATTTGACACCAATTGAAATACCTAGTGTGTGGTACCAATTTATTTATAAAAAAATATTTTTCCGGATGTGCTAATGAACCTGGTTCCATTTCAAAGAATTGTGAAATGATTAAAAATACGATTTTGGCATTTTTTAATCACTCACTATAAGATACTAAAAATATTAGACGATCAAACTATTTTTCCAAGGCTCCTTTATTAAAAATTGGTATTTTTAATTAGTAATTTAGCCATGGCACTCTAGATTGAAGTTTAAAATACGATGTTTTTAAAAGCGAATATGTCTAAAGTTTGGTTTGGTAATATATCGTATCCGATAGTCAAGCGTCACTAAAAGCGATCAACTCAGTAACTATCAATTCGAAGTTGGTCAAAGAATGCCTAGAGAAGCCGAACAAATTAGGCAAAAAAGTCCTCCTACCCTGGTGGCCACTCACCAAGGGATAGAAGACAATAAAGAAGCAAACGATCTAGCTAGAATAGCAAACACTCCACTAACTGATTCAGACCTGTTCTGCTTTCCAAGCGGAAACCAACTTAAAGCGGAACTGAAGAACCTGGAAGACTCTATCCGTAACCTTGAATGAGAATTGTCCAATGGTTTAAGATACTCTAAAAAGTGCCTCAGAACTTACGATGAAAAAAATTATCTTGATTTAAGTGAGAACAATCTTCGGATTATCACGGGGTTTCTAACAGGACACTGCCTCCTTAACGAAAACATCAGAAGATTGAAGCTGAGAATCAGTGGCAAATGCAGATTCTGTGGGGAAAATAGGAAAACACCAGAACAGCTTATCAGTGAGTGCGCCGAGATGACAACCGTTGAATAATAAATACCCTGAGATTGTATGATGAGTTAAAACTCGTTATAACAACAGAGAAAGGGGAACATATAATAGATCTATAATGTCGCGGTGATTAACTCTCCTCTGAAACATTCTACATTCTTCTTCTACAAAATAACACTGACAAGCTGGTTTCTGTTTGGATTCAACGCCATTGATGTTTACAAGAAATAACTTTCTTATTTTGTAATAGTTATCAGGCAGTAGTTCTTCATTTTAAGTTTGACTTCATATAATATTATTTTAGCCAAACGTCTGCGGTTTCTAATTGACGTATTTGCTATAAACTAAAGTGTTGAGTTATACTTGAATAATTGTATTTGGATATTTTAAATAGTGTTTTCTTTGTTCCTTGCCTTTTTTGTTTCCGATGACGCGACAGGAGGAGATACGTCTCCCAAACGTTAAGCATTTTTTGTCGGTTAGGTAAATTTGACTTACAAGCTGGTTTCCATTTGGATGCAAGGTAGTGGTGTTTGCAAAAAATATTTTTATTATGTTGATTTTTTGCTAATGTTTTTTCTATACTTTGTTTTATTTCTCAGGTAAGATTTCGACAGACGATGACAGAAAAAAACATACGACATTTATGTCATGTGCGTCGTCTCTTGTTGCTTTTAAGCAGTTTTGTTAGTTAATTTTAAAAATTACAGATCATATTTCAATATTATTAGAGTCACGTAACAATAAACGATGCGTGGACCGATGCATAACATATACCGTAATTTTTTGAAATATAATAACTGGAATAGATTTTTTCAGTTTTATACAGTTTTTTAACAATATTTGAGTAATCACTAGTCTCTCAAATTTTAAATATATTAATTTCCTGCTATGCGTCCCAGTTGTACCAACTTATTTCTTTGTAGAATAAAATATACTACTTTGAAATTAAAATGACAGACACATCTATCACTGTCAATGATTTTTTCATTGGATAGACTAAATCGCAGTTTGTTTCCAAAAAATCAAAAAGAATTGCAATTCTTTCTAAAAATTGTTTTATTAATTTTACTGCGGTGCAAGGCCTTATTCAACTACATAGGAGTGAGTCTATTCAATTTTGCCCCCTTCCAACTACTTTCATCATCCTGACCTCTGCAGCAGGGTGGCCTGACTGATGTTGTGGCTATTCGGCCATACGTTCAAACGGTGTTGTCGCTATATCTCGAGCCATTTGGCAACGATGGCCGCACTTTGTTACTGCCGACCCGTAATTACTGCAGTAATGGCCAAACTTAAGTTACAATGGCTCTATTCTGCGCCGTCTTTGATCGTATAATACTCTCGTCTAGGTATTGTGACGGGAGTAACGTGCACTCGAAATGCCGTTGTTGTTGTGGATGGTCATGTTCCTTACATGTAATTAAAACTTTAATATCCAGATGTCACCTCTACCTACGTTAAACCAATAATTGAATGTGTAACGTTATTAGTATGTAAAATACCTCTAAATTATTTATGCTTTATTTTCTTAATTCTACGTTTTTATACAAATCTGTTATTAACAAATAATTTGAGATAATAAGTATTATAAATAACTTCTATATGTATATAATTTTTGTTGTGGGTCCATTTCTGAGAAAACAAAGGGGCGTCTTGTCATTGAAGACATAGATATTTAAGAACAAATAACATTTAGATTTTAATCGTATAACAAGATGTATAACTACATATTTTTATATGGTTTAGTAACGAAATGGTGACTTTTTCATTGAAAGATATCTAATAATTCCACTTTTATGCTATTGGAAATTGAATTATGCAAAAAAAAATTGTTCTTAATTTGAGAGTAATTGTTGTCACCATATACATAGTGTTTAAATATGTCAAAATAATTTTTAACAAATAATAATTAACATTATTTTTTTCTTACAGATAATTGGTGCCGCAGTATTTTCACTATGTCTCTGGTTAAGGTTTGAGACAGGTTATCAAGAAATATTGACAATTTTGAGCGCAAATCAGTTTTACATTGGAATCTACGTACTTTTAGTATCATCCCTGGTTATTATGGTCGTTGCTTTCTTAGGATGCATCAGCGCCCTGCAAGAAAATTCTGTAGTTCTCCTCGCAGTAAGTACTATAGTTTAGTTTAATTTACATATACGGAGCTATCAACAATGATAGAAATAGGTGGCAGTATTGTGTAAGAATATTTATATTAGTGATTGGTACTGATGCGAAAACAAATTATCGATCAATTTTTTTTTCTAATTATGTTTCATTAATCTTTTTTGAAAATTTTTCTTTGTGATTTGTGAAATCGACATATTTTTCAATACTACTACGGTGTTTAGCAATGACTAAAGAATACAAGGACTAATAACATCCGAGACCAAATTGTTACTATACCTCCAACTTCAATAAAAAAAACGTTAAAAAGGTGACTGGGCTCTTTACTTGCCTATAAAACATAACTTCTTTCTCCTTCTTCTCACTGTGGCTTTTACAGTTGAAAGTTGAACAACTAATCACCATTGTAACAAAGTTTATACAAAATTAACTACACACTAACTATTAAAAATCGCTAAAATTGTGGCTGATGTGTGTGTGTGTGTGTGTGTGACTAGCATTAGTTACATCCAGTAAATGGCGTCTTACATCACAAATTTTGCTGCAGTCCGTATATGAGCGTTACGTGTCCTTGTATTTTGTAGTCATTGGTGTTTATCATAGAAAATTAGTATTCGCCATGTAGGTACCTACAATCCCGGCGTTCTATACAGGGTGTTTCAAAAAACATATGCCATCTCTCGTGGGGAGATTCCTCATGTAAAAACAAAATTTATTTTTCATATCAACATAGGTCCGATTTTGCTTTGTTTCGTAGATACAGGTTACTACAGAGTTAAAATCTTAATAATCTTTTTCGATTTATTTTAATTTTCTTCCAGGTACTTTTAATGATTCGAATGAAATTTTGAGGGTTAAAGTTGAGTACATATTTTAATGCTTTTAATGCTAAAAAAGTGTCGATAAATTCATGAGGGACGGGCATATGGGTTATCACTGGAATATTTAAAAAAAACATGTGCGCCACTGACTTTTTTCTTTTTATATCAAAATTGTGTAGGCCGATTAGTGCCAATTGAAAGCTATCTCTTGGTATTTTGTCGAATTCGGCCTCCTTGATGATATAACGCAATTTTATTAATCACATTTAATAAAATTAAATTAAAAACAAAATTAATAAATTATATATTTTACCTAATTTATTATTAAATAGTATTACTTACTATTATTATTCTTACTATTATTCCAACCTACAGCAATTACAAATTAAAAATAATGATATTTATGATAATTACAAAAAATCTAATTTTAAAAAGTTTTAACATCCTGTAACTCTAAAACTATGCATTTCTATACCCATGTTTATATGAACTTTTTTCATATTTTTTTTATGAGGAATCAATGAGTGCTCATTTAAAACATTCGCAAGTTAATGATATTAAAAATGTTTAAGGGTTGCTACTGGTTGGTTTAAGACAAAATTAATTAAATTGCGTTTATCTCACCAAGGAGGCCGAAATCGACAAAATACACTTGAGAAAGAGACAACTTTAAATTGGAATTAAATTGCTTATACTATTTCGCTAACAAGAGAAAAAAAATCAGTGGCGTACATGCCTTTTTTTGAAAAATATTCCAGTAATAACTCATATGAACGTCCTTGGTGAATCTGTCGACACTTTTTTAGCTTTAAAATATGTCGCATTTACAGTATCTTTTAGCCTCAAAATTTCATTCGAATCACTGAAAGTACTTGGAAGAAAATTATAATAAATAGAAAAAATAATAAGACTTTAATATCCTGTAGCTACGATACAAAGCATAATCGGACCTATGTTGATATGAAAAATAAATCTTATTTTTGCGTGAGGAATCACCCCACGAGAGATGACACATGTTTCTTGAAACACCCTGTATAATAATAAATAATACTATACCTAAATACGAACCCAAAATCCCAAGAAAATAAAAAAATAGAATAATACTAAATATACTATGTAAATTTAATCAATTGGACAAATTATTTAATTTAACAATGGACGGGTAAATCCTTTTATAATACTAATAGGATTGATGGTGATGTAACAAAGCAATGATTAATATTCTGTGACTCAAAAGAAAAAAAAAACAGCGTACAATTAAATCTATTATTTTGCATATTCTAAATAAAACAAAACCCCTTGCCGCCTGGTTTAAATACGCATATTATTCTTGTATTCAAATGCAGACATTAACAAAGTTATGTATTTGTGTTCTTTGTTTACTGCTGATACGTGCTTTTTAAATACATGTTCTACTTTATTCACTTTTTTTCAGAAAAGTTTATAACAAATTAAATTAATAATAACAATCGTGGCATTTTTTATGTTTTTCCTGAAATTTAATTCACAATACCAGTAAATGCTGAACTTATTTCTAAATAAAAACACTGTTTGCTGTGTCTAGCTCCCCGATACCGGTTTCTGAATAAATCCCGGTAAAAAATAAGTAGTAGTGAAAGTATTCAACATATTCATGGCAGCGCTCTCCATTATAGTGGACACCAAACTGCAGGAAAGAGGAATGGGCATAAGATACAGATACGACGGCGCGGCAGTCTGTTCAACATAAAAATGATTCAGGGTAAAAACACTTACAAAATTCATCATAGAACTTTAATACGCTGTAGTTGCAAAAACGTTACTGCTGTTACAAGAAATGCTGTACACATACCGTATACGAGACTTTGGGCCTTAAGTTGAACATCGATAATATTAAAATAATGTGCTCTTCCCTAGAAGGTCATAACAATGCTATAAAAATCGGAGAACTATTGGAATATGTAGCGGAATTTAATTACCTCGGCAGTTTGATATCGGAAAAGGCGAATATCAACTCGGAAATTCAGCACACGATTAGCAGCGCCTCAAGAGCATTCTGGAAATTAAAGACAGAGTTTTCTACAATTATGACTTGAGTACAAAAACGAAACTTGCAGTGTAGCGAGCTATAATAATCTCCACCATGTTGCGACAGAGGCATCTTAGATAACTGTTAAGAATCAAACGGTACCACCATGTCTCAAACGTATCGGTCCTTGAAAAAACTATCTGGGAGAGCGCTGAAGTCATGATTACTAAATCCCGCTTAAATGGGCTGGCCATATATGCAGGATGCAAGGAAACCGCCTACCGAAATCTCCATTTACGGTGAAATTGTAGACGGTAAAAGGAAACCGGGTAGACAAATAAAAGGGTAAAAGAAAATTTTCCACGAAAACTAAAATATACAGGGTGTTTCAAAACAAATGCGAAAAACTTCAGGGGGTGATTCCTTGTTCAAAATAAAGGGGAGTTTGCTTTATAAACGTTGGGTCAAAAGTCAACCATTAGGGAGATATCGCGGTACAAAGATGGTGGAAAAAAAATAACACAGGCCGACATGATTTTTTGTAACACGAGTCAGTTGCAGAATTTCTTCATAAAAATATGCTTCTAATAACAGAAAAAATACTCCTGAAGCTCCTACACGTACCACTTTTCAGTTGCCTAATTACCTACCTCTTTCATTCTTGTTAACTAAATTTAAAGAAAAATCTTATCAAACACATGCAAAAAATTAATTTGGATAGTATAGTTTGTTTAGAAACTTTTTATCTCTTGTGTTTTTTTTTGATGATAAAACTCACCGATTTGAAATTAAAAAATAAAATGTAAATTTTTGCAGGTCAGGAGTCAACACATTATAGATGTCAGGTATTAAGTCTAGGTAGATTCGTTTACATACAGGTAAATTTTATGATGAGATGATTGAAAGGTACGCATTTTGTGCACTATAATATATTGTGAAAACATAAGAGAGTTCAGTTTTCAGTTGATTTTTTGACGTGAGTTGTACAGCATGCGTGTAGATAAATAGTCAGAAAATGTCAAGTCAAACGCGCCTGCAGTTGTAAAGTGTTCCTGATCGATTTTGTTACATTTTTGTGGAGAATTTATATGCAATCACAAGCCAGACCATTTTCTGAAAATGTGAAGAAAGCCTACTTCAAGTATTTTGGAGTTTTGGTTGGAGATCAAGACAAGCAGTGGGCTCCTCATGTGTGCTGCGTTACTTGGTAGCGTGTCGCTTGTGCAGTGGATGAAAGGGAAGAGGAAAAAATGCCATTTGCGGTTCCAATGGTATGGCGAGAACCAACTAACCATTTTGACGATTGCTATTTTTGCCTGACGAAAACTGAAGGTTTTTCCAAAAAACAAAAGCACAAGATCGAGTATCCCAATTTGCCGTCTGCCATACGACCTGTTCTTCATGGTGCAGATCTCCCAGTGCCGATCGCGCCCTTAGACTGGCAAGGTATTGTTTTGGAAGATAAGGAAGATATTGAATCAAACAGCTCTGGAGACCAGTGTACTGATCCTACCTTTACCCCAGAGGGCGGTTCCGACAAGCCACATTTGATTGTTCAAAGCGAGTTGAATGACTTAGTGCGTGACTTGGGGTTATCAAAGCAGCAGTCAGAACTTCTTGGATCCCGGCTTAAGGAATGGAATCTGTTAGCCAATGAAACAAAAATCACCACTTTTAGAAAAAGAAATGCTCCGTTCTCTGCATTCTACAGTATGGAGGATTCGTTGTGTGCATGTACTGATATCGATGGCTTAATGCAGGAACTTTCTATAGAACATTCTCCCTGTGAGTGGCGCTTATTCATAGATTCGTCGAAATATAGCCTAAAAGCTGTGTTATTGCATAACGGAAATTTAAAACCCTCTATACCAGTTGCCCATTCAGTGACAATGAAGGAAACTTATGAAAATATGCGCATGCTTTTAGATAGAATCAACTACAACAGGTATAAATGGCAGATATGTGGGGACTTGAAAGTTATAGGAATTTTAGTGGGACTTCAGGGAGGATTTACAAAATATTGCTGTTTTCTTTGTTTGTGGGACAGTCGTGCAGTAAATCATCATTATGTACAGAAAATTTGGCCAGAAAGAAGTGAATTTCAACCGGGTTCCCAAAATGTCAAGTATATCCCTCTTGTAGACCCCAAAGACGTCCTCCTGCCTCCTCTT